ACGATTTTTGGACATTAATATCTAAATAACCGTTTGAGATATGTTTATGAAATTTGGAACACATATTTATCTCGCAAGTCTCAATATATAAACCAAATTTGACAGGTTTGTGTGATAGAGTTTTTGAGTTATGAGGGGGTCAAAAGTGGCTCCAAATGGTTCGTGTAAATATACACACGGTGCTGCAGGCCAGTTTACTTGAAACTCGGCTTGACACGCTGCCGCGTGTCTAGATATTATTTTCTTATATACAGGGTGTAAGGGACTGGTTGGCCAAAACTAAAACAGCTGGTTCAGATGAATGGTCTGAATCAGATGGCAGTTTATTAAAGCAAACGCTTACGACGTAGGTTATCACAGGCTGTTCTGTGTGTGTAAAGCGCTGGTGTGTGGGCGTGTGGTAAATAAGTTAACAACCAAATGTATGTTCAGAACCTACCATTAAAAAAAAAAAAAATTTGATCTTACCTTAGGTTCTCTTAGGTCTTTTGAGATGCCATCACTGGTGCGCGAATCCTGGAGTTGCCAGGCGCCGCTAGTGGTGACAAGGCGGACTCCCTTGCCGAAAAGCTCAGGGAGGTCCTGCCCGCGGAGGTCGTACAGGTCTTCACCGGACGAGAGCGTCCGGTGAAGACGGCGGGCTTGAGGATAGTGGGCCTTGACGACACGACCACACCGGCGGATGTCGTCGTCGCTGTGGCTCGAAGTGGTGGCTGCGCGGAGCAGGACATCAAGGTGGGGGAAATCCGCCGATCGGCGTCGGGCACTGCGGCTGCATGGGTTCGTTGCCCAGTGGTGGCCGCCAAAAAGCTCGAGACGGAGGCCCGGATTAAGGTGGGATGGGTTTCGGTGCTAGATCCGAAGCCCGCACGTTGTTACCGCTGCCTACTGCAGGGACACGTGGGTGCACAGTGTAAGTCGGCGGTGGACCTCAGTCAGGCCTGCTTCCGCTGCGGTGGAGAAGGCCACAAGGCTGCTGGTTGCACAAGCCTGCCGCATTGCGTCTATTGCGCATCGGCGGGACGTCCGGCGAATCACTCAGTGGGCAGCGGTAAGGACTGCTCGCGAGGAAGCGGGGCAACGGCGCGGGCGGAGGAGTCGGAGGCGATGGAGGCCGAGCCCGGCCCGTCGCCACCGACCCAGAGTCTCTCGGCGGCAGATGCGGGGGCGTCTGCCATCACCTAAGGAGGGTGAGGCTAGGAGTAGGCGCGCATGGTGTCCGCGCGCGCCACTCGAGGAGGAGGCTGCAGAGCCTGCGCTGCCGGGGTCGCGGTGAACTGCTACGTCGATCCCGTAACCCCGGCGCTAGTGGCGAGCGGAGGACACCAAGGGGTTTTAGCCGGTAGGAGTCCGGCAGTACCCCCACGCTTCCCCCGAGGCGTGCGGGTCTCCATGATGGATTTCCCCTTGTAAAAAAAAAAAAAAAGGTCTTTTGAGACAAATTTCAACTTGACGCATGGTCTCCGCATGAAGCCTAGTTATTATTGTGGAATGTTCATTAATATCGCTCCTTAACACATGAAATCCCTCACTTATTCGCTGTTGGAGTTTAGTCAGGGGACCACGCTGGCCATGGATGAGGCCCGAATCTTCCAATCCAGCGATCAGGGAAGGTTTCATCTAGATGTTATCGTACCGAGCACACAACATGCGGGGGAGCGCCATCATGCTGAAACCAAATTCTCGGTAAATGAACCAATGGGACACCTTCCACTTCGTCACATAGAAACTCCAAATAGCGTTGTCCGTTCACACGCGCCGATAAAAAAAAAAAAAAAAACTGTTCCAAGGATTTTATTGATGAAATTTGGGTTCACTCTTTAGCAGTTTATTAACCATCTACATAAGCGGCTAAAATATCCTACATGAATAAATGAATTTTGAATTTGAATTGAATTTGAATTTACAGTACATAACACGGCGAAGAATCGCCAGGAACCAAGGCTTGCACCTTTTGAATATGGTACGGCCGTTGCTGGTCTCTTCGTAGCACTGTATGCACAGTCCAGTGAGATGTACGAACTCCATGGTTACGTCTTAACAACTTCGCCGCTGTACGTGTGCCCAAATAAATAAATAATTACGTGTTGGACGTTCCATTATTAATAATAAGAGAAAATATTCACAAATAATACACAACCAAAAGAACAAAACAAAACAAAAGCTAATCTAAATACCAAATTTTTTTTTTTTTGTTACCGGCCACTTTCTATATACTTTTATATTCTCTTCAAATGTATAAATATAGTATAAGAGAGTGTGGTGGAGTGAGTGGTGTTGAGGAGTACTATGGATGAGTGTGATTGAGCGCACCACCGCAGCCCAAAAGACGCGATGCATATATTTCTTATTATTTAAGTAGGTATAATAAACCAACATCTTACCAGTATCCTATTGCACATTAGATGGCGGGCCATTACAGATGCACAAGAAGTATCCCTACCGCACAATAGATGGCGCAAACGCAGCGCGAAAGGCACAGGCGTACAACGCGATATAGTTTCGTTCTGACAATCCAATAAGTCAATAGAAGTTGAAACGAAACCTGCGGTTTAGGTTTAGGTTTAGGTTTAGGTTTAGGTTTAGGTTTAGGTTTAGGTTTAGGTTTAGGTTTAGGTTTAGGTTTAGGTTTAGGTTTAGGTTTAGGTTTAGGTTTAGGTTTAGGTTTAGGTTTAGGTTTAGGTTTAGGTTTAGGTTTAGGTTTAGGTTTAGGTTTAGGTTTAGGTTTAGGTTTAGGTTTAGGTTTAGGTTTAGGTTTAGGTTTAGGTTTAGGTTTAGGTTTAGGTTTAGGTTTAGGTTTAGGTTTAGGTTTAGGTTTAGGTTTAGGTTTAGGTTTAGGTTTAGGTTTAGGTTTAGGTTTAGGTTTAGGTTTAGGTTTAGGTTTAGGTTTAGGTTTAGGTTTAGGTTTAGGTTTAGGTTTAGGTTTAGGTTTAGGTTTAGGTTTAGGTTTAGGTTTAGGTTTAGGTTTAGGTTTAGGTTTAGGTTTAGGTTTAGGTTTAGGTTTAGGTTTAGGTTTAGGTTTAGGTTTAGGTTTAGGTTTAGGTTTAGGTTTAGGTTTAGGTTTAGGTTTAGGTTTAGGTTTAGGTTTAGGTTTAGGTTTAGGTTTAGGTTTAGGTTTAGGTTTAGGTTTAGGTTTAGGTTTAGGTTTAGGTTTAGGTTTAGGTTTAGGTTTAGGTTTAGGTTTAGGTTTAGGTTTAGGTTTAGGTTTAGGTTTAGGTTTAGGTTTAGGTTTAGGTTTAGGTTTAGGTTTAGGTTTAGGTTTAGGTTTAGGTTTAGGTTTAGGTTTAGGTTTAGGTTTAGGTTTAGGTTTAGGTTTAGGTTTAGGTTTAGGTTTAGGTTTAGGTTTAGGTTTAGGTTTAGGTTTAGGTTTAGGTTTAGGTTTAGGTTTAGGTTTAGGTTTAGGTTTAGGTTTAGGTTTAGGTTTAGGTTTAGGTTTAGGTTTAGGTTTAGGTTTAGGTTTAGGTTTAGGTTTAGGTTTAGGTTTAGGTTTAGGTTTAGGTTTAGGTTTAGGTTTAGGTTTAGGTTTAGGTTTAGGTTTAGGTTTAGGTTTAGGTTTAGGTTTAGGTTTAGGTTTAGGTTTAGGTTTAGGTTTAGGTTTAGGTTTAGGTTTAGGTTTAGGTTTAGGTTTAGGTTTAGGTTTAGGTTTAGGTTTAGGTTTAGGTTTAGGTTTAGGTTTAGGTTTAGGTTTAGGTTTAGGTTTAGGTTTAGGTTTAGGTTTAGGTTTAGGTTTAGGTTTAGGTTTAGGTTTAGGTTTAGGTTTAGGTTTAGGTTTAGGTTTAGGTTTAGGTTTAGGTTTAGGTTTAGGTTTAGGTTTAGGTTTAGGTTTAGGTTTAGGTTTAGGTTTAGGTTTAGGTTTAGGTTTAGGTTTAGGTTTAGGTTTAGGTTTAGGTTTAGGTTTAGGTTTAGGTTTAGGTTTAGGTTTAGGTTTAGGTTTAGGTTTAGGTTTAGGTTTAGGTTTAGGTTTAGGTTTAGGTTTAGGTTTAGGTTTAGGTTTAGGTTTAGGTTTAGGTTTAGGTTTAGGTTTAGGTTTAGGTTTAGGTTTAGGTTTAGGTTTAGGTTTAGGTTTAGGTTTAGGTTTAGGTTTAGGTTTAGGTTTAGGTTTAGGTTTAGGTTTAGGTTTAGGTTTAGGTTTAGGTTTAGGTTTAGGTTTAGGTTTAGGTTTAGGTTTAGGTTTAGGTTTAGGTTTAGGTTTAGGTTTAGGTTTAGGTTTAGGTTTAGGTTTAGGTTTAGGTTTAGGTTTAGGTTTAGGTTTAGGTTTAGGTTTAGGTTTAGGTTTAGGTTTAGGTTTAGGTTTAGGTTTAGGTTTAGGTTTAGGTTTAGGTTTAGGTTTAGGTTTAGGTTTAGGTTTAGGTTTAGGTTTAGGTTTAGGTTTAGGTTTAGGTTTAGGTTTAGGTTTAGGTTTAGGTTTAGGTTTAGGTTTAGGTTTAGGTTTAGGTTTAGGTTTAGGTTTAGGTTTAGGTTTAGGTTTAGGTTTAGGTTTAGGTTTAGGTTTAGGTTAGGTTAGGTTAGGTTAGGTTAGTTTAGGTTAGGTTAGGTTAGGTTAGGTTAGGTTAGGTTAGGTTAGGTTAGGTTAGGTTAGGTTAGGTTGGGGCGTGTGTCGGGCAACCTCCAAGTATGGGCCTGCCATTGGGAGGCTTCCCCATCCTCGTGGATACGTCCGCGGGGAACGGTGGCCGAGCAATGGTTTGGTTCTGGTACGCCCTGGGCGGGATAGTAGACGTTCCTTCGGGATACTGCTACTATGTCGGCCGATAGTCCGGCGAGTAGGTAGGAGTGTAAATAGTGTGTGTATATAGTTAGGTTAAGTTATTTATTTGTAAATAGTTAGGTTTAGGTTGTAAATATGTACATAGTTTCTTCTTGGTTTTTGTTTTTGTTTTCTTCGTTTTGTTTTATGTTTTGTTTCCTTTCCTGTCCTATATCCTTTCTGTCCCCTTATTCTTCGTTTTCGTTTTCGTCTTCCGCGGGACCTCACCCGGGTAAAAAAGGGAAAAGATGACATGGCAGAACCTAAAAGAAACGTATTACCCCAGGAAGGTACCAGCAACGCTGGAGAATCCTTCCCCACCGCACCGGATTCGCCGGGGGTGGGCTGTCCCAAGTATTCTGGGGGGGACAAGTTAGGCCATGAGTGGGAGGATGAGGAGGAGGTAGATGCAGCGAGGAGGGAGTTTGTGGAGAGGCTGCTGGACCAAATGGAGGCAGAAGCAATGGAGGGATTAGATTCGGATTTCTCCGGATCGAGTCTCTCCTTGGATTCTGAAGTAGGAAGCGACGTTGCCGGCACATCAACACCGTTGCCGCAACGACGATCTCAGCGCAAGAGACGGATCGTTGAGAAGTCGAAACCGGAGGATGACGCACCCGAGATCGTTTTTAAAACACCGGGACAAAAACCCGCAACACCATCTGCGGCAAGGAGGACGCCCGTCACAAAAGTGGGTGGCAGTAGTGCCGGGCCAAAGAAAACAACGAGGGGTGATAATGACCCCGATTTGGTGCAGGCGAAGGCCGAGTTGGCTGCCGCTACCCAGAGAGATATGGAGTTGGAGGCGGCAGCTGCAGTAAAAGTGGCTACCCCGAAACCGGCGAAGCGCCCTACCACCCGCAGACCCTCAGACGAGGATGCGAAGCGCTCCGACGTCCTGGTTTCGGACATCCAGGATTGTGCCCTGAAGGTGCTCGATGCCGTGAAGAAGTCCGGCCACTTGAAGGGCACAGTAGTGAAGGAGATTAAAGACGCCGTCGCTACCATCCGTGCGGCGTCTGAATCTCTGGCGGGAAGGACCGCATCAACCGAGTGCGCAGCACTGCGCCGGGAGAATTCCCGATTGGCACGCGACATGGCGGATATGCGCGAATTGATGACGGGCATCAGAGAGGAATCCGCAAAATATTATGTGGAGCTAAGGGACCTCAAGAAGAAGACCATGGGGTCCGCCGGCCAGGACATGAACGAGCTAGCGATGCTCAAGGCCGAGAGGGCGGAGTGGGAGCGGGAGATTGCCGCCACCCGAAACTCCTACCAGGAGGTACTAAAAAGGAGTAACGAGGACCGCCTGGCGCTCACTACAGCGCTTGATGAATTGGCGGCAGCCAAAGCTGCACTGGCGAATCAGCCACATAGTGCGGCCATGGATATGACATCCGGCGCCCAAAGTGCTGAGCCGCGCGAAACGCCGGTAATCACTGAGGGTGTCGAAGCGAGAATAGTCCGCCAAATCGGGGACATTTTTAATGCCCGGTTTGAGCGGATTGAGGAGCTTGTCGGCAGGTCTCAAAACCCGCCGCCAAAAAGGACCACAGCTGCACCCCGAACACCTGGAGCAGCCAAGAAAGGAGGAAGTACGGCCCCTGTAGCCAGTACTAGTAGAGCAGGGGTGAGCGCTTCTCAGCCGGCGCCATCTACATCGGAGCAATGGACGACCGTAGTCCGGCGAGGAAAACGGGCCAGTGCAGCGAAGGGTCAGAAGTCGGCCCCAGCTACACAAGCAACCACAGGCGGGGCTAATACAGGCCAGAAGAAGGCCACTACGGAGGCCCAGAGTGAGGCCACCAAGAGGAAAAGGGCACGGAAGCGTCAATTCCGTTCCCCGCGATCCTCGGCGGTAGTTCTGACACTGCAGCCGGGAGCTGCGGAGGCGGGATCGAGCTACAGCTCGGTGCTCCGAGAGGCCCAACAGAAGATCAAGTTGGATGCCCTCGGAATCACCGAGCTGGGCTTTAGGCTGGCCATAACGGGGTCCCGCATACTCGAGGTGCCGGGACCAGTGGAGGAGAGTGGTAGGAAGGCTGATGCTCTTGCCGCTAAACTGGCCGAAGTCATACCGGCGGGTGTGGTCAGCGTGTCCAGACCAGTGAAGTCTGCGGAAATCCGCATCCTGGATCTGGACGACGCCACAACGGCAGCTGAAGTGGTGGCAGCTGTTGCGCGCGAGGGAGACTGCGCCGAGGCCTCCGTGAAAACGGGGGAGATCCGGCGCTCTCCCTCAGGAAGTGGCTCCATCTGGGCGCGGTGCCCTATTGGAGCTGTCAAGCGGCTGGTTGACGCCGGCAAGCTCAGAGTGGGGTGGACAATGGCACGGGTGCGGTCTTTGGACCCCCGGCCGATGCGGTGTTACCGCTGCCTGCTCACAGGTCATGTGGGCCAGCGGTGCACCGCCAAGGAGGACCGCGGCGGAGCTTGTTTCCGCTGCGGACAAGACGGCCACAAGGCCGCATCGTGCACCGCCCCCTCGCCGCACTGCCCCTATTGCGCGGCGGCGAAGAAGAAGGCGGACCACCGTATGGGCAGCACCAAAGGGTGTCGCCCGCCGAAAATGGCGAGAGTGGAGGAGATGGAGGCCGAGACCGGCCCGTCACCTCCTACCACGGGCCTTGCGGCAGCTGACGCGGGGGCGTCAGCTGTCACCTAAGGAGGTATGAGGCCAGGAGTTGGCGCGCGTGGTGTCCGCGCGTGCCACTCAGGAGTTGGGCTGAAGAGCCCGCGCTGCCGGGGTTTACGGTTGAATATCATCATGATCCCGTAACCCTGGCACCAAAGCGCTCGGAGGACACCAAGGGGTTTTAGCCGGTAGGAGTCCGGCAGTACCCCCACGCTTCCCCCGGGGGGTGCGGGTCTCCATGACGGATTTCCCCTTGTAAAAAAAAAAAAAAAAAAAAAAAAAAAAAAAAAAAAAAAAAAAAAGGTTAGGTTAGGTTAGGTTAGGTTAGGTTAGGTTAGGTTAGGTTAGGTTAGGTTAGGTTAGGTTAGGTTAGGTTAGGTTAGGTTAGGTTAGGTTAGGTTAGGTTAGGTTAGGTTAGGTTAGGTTAGGTTAGGTTAGGTTAGGTTAGGTTAGGTTAGGTTAGGTTAGGTTAGGTTAGGTTAGGTTAGGTTAGGTTAGGTTAGGTTAGGTTAGGTTAGGTTAGGTTAGGTTAGGTTAGGTTAGGTTAGGTTAGGTTAGGTTAGGTTAGGTTAGGTTGGAGTCGCGTTCGAGCCGCCGTGGCGTGCGGACGTGCGCACGGTGGCTCCGGAGCGGTGCCGGGTCGCTCCGCGGCCGCCGCCGTCCGCTCCGCGGGCGCCCGGCGTCCGTCGGCGGGGCCCGGCGCCGCTCTGGCGGCTCCGGGAGTCGCGCTGCGAACACGTCGAGACTTGTTCTCCGTGTTTCGTACGCCATCGCGAGTGAGGTCACGGAAGTAGGTCAAATGATGTGTCATTTGGCGGTCGTGTCTGTGACCCTGTCAGATGGCACACCGTGTGACTGAAAAAGTGACTTTGTGCGAAGTGAGTGACAGTGACACTATAGCAACAGCGGGCAGGTGGCCCCTGTTGCTACCGGAGTGGACTTATTGTGCGAACGGCGGGTGTGGCTCGGCCCCCGCCCACGCGCAATACACGGACTGAGGTGAGTCGCCATAGCAATAGTGAGGCAGTGCCCTGTTGCTATGCGAGACGGACTGTCGCGGCGCGCCGGGTACCGCCTCCGTGGCGCCTCGGGGCCGCTGCGGGGCCGCTCGGTGCCCGCGGGGCCGCTGGTGCCGCTCGGCGGGTCGGTGTGTCGCGGCGGACTGTGTGTGGTGGCGCCGGCGGGCGTGGCTCGTCCCCCGCCGGTGCGGGACCGCGGGACCCGGCGGAGCCGCGTGGGCACCGCCGGCGCGTCCCGCGGGACCATTTGGAGGACCGCGCGGCGCACCCGGTGTCGCTTCGATGCGTCGCTCGGCGTCGCGCCGCGCGGTACAATTGTGTGGACTGGCTTGCGGCGGGTGTGGCCTGGCCCCCGCCGCCGCCGTCGGGACCGCGGAGACCCAGCGGAGCCGGGTGGGCGCCGCTGGTGTGTCCCGCGGGACTTGTTGTGGAGGGCTATGGAGAGGACTGGCATGCGGCGGGTGTGGCCTGCTCCCGCCGCCGCCGACAGGACTGTGGCCCCTGGCGGAGCCGTGTGGGCTCCGCAAGTGTGTGGACACGGGACTGTTTGTGTGTGGAGTGCCGAACCCGGACTTGACTGTGTGGCGCTGGAGGAGGCGAGCACTTAGTGCCCTCCTTCCGGCGATGGGGACTTGCTCCCCTGGTGGCTCGCTCCTGCCTGGCGTCCGCAAGGACGATCGGCGGAGCGGTGTAGTGGCTCTTCGGAGCGCCGGGCTTTTAAGCCCGATGAGAGTAGCTGCCCCCCCATTGCGGGGGCCGGGCGCGGTGATGGTGAATCCACCGCGTTCGTAGTAGAGCCGTACTACCCCGGGGAACGCCTTGCGACCCGGGGTATGTATGTTTGTGGGGTGCCTTGCACCCCGCGTGAGTGATGCCGTGGACCGTTCCCTAAGACGGTCAGCGGCCCAGACCACTGACGGCTGAATTGGTCGCTGTTGGTGGTCTGTGTGAGAGTCCCCGACCCGTGTCGGGGCACCGGGCGGGGCGGTGTTGCTATTCCGCCGCCTTCGTGCGCCCGGCGTGGAGGGGGCGGACGGTGCGTGCACCCGAAGTCCCAACCTAGACACTCGGGGCGGCGGATGTAGGGGCATCCAAAGCTCCAAGGAGGCGAGTGGTCAGAGGAGGGCGGGCGCGGAGTGGTCCCCGCGCCCGCATCCGAGCGGCTCCTTCAGTGGAGACCCGCGGCCGGCATGCGGACGAATGCTTCGGCGGACCCGCATGACGGCGCTTTCACGCGGTTTTAAAGGAGGAACACCGGGGGTTTTGGTGGGTCGGATTCGTCCAGTCCCACAGTATTCGTCCGCTCCCCTTCATAAAGGCGGACGTTTCGGTACTGAAACCTTTCCCCTCGAAAAAAAAAAAAAAAAAAAAAAAAAAAGGTTAGGTTAGGTTAGGTTAGGTTAGGTTAGGTTAGGTTAGGTTAGGTTAGGTTAGGTTAGGTTAGGTTAGGTTAGGTTAGGTTAGGTTAGGTTAGGTTAGGTTAGGTTAGGTTAGGTTAGGTTAGGTTAGGTTAGGTTAGGTTAGGTTAGGTTAGGTTAGGTTAGGTTAGGTTAGGTTAGGTTAGGTTAGGTTAGGTTAGGTTAGGTTAGGTTAGGTTAGGTTAGGTTAGGTTAGGTTAGGTTAGGTTAGGTTTTTTTTTTTTTTTTTTTTTTTTTTTTTTTTAACTTATAACTACTTACAAGCTAGGGGATAGGGTGTCCGATCCACAGATCGTCCCGGATGTTAAATTCCAGGTTTTTTTATTTTTGGAATTAATTACACACACACGTTTTATTTATTTTACATTTTTTTTGTCTTAGCCTAGGTTTCGCTTATACTAATTTAGGGATACATTTTACAGGGTTCTTATTTCTATTTCTATTTCTATTTTTATTGTTACATTTACTTATTTTATATTTGTTTTTATTACACTACATTTCTATTTTATGTTTTTATTTTGTTACATTCTATTTTATTTTATATTATTCATTAGTATACCCATTATACTATGTAATATAATTTTACTTTCTGTTTTCTTTTGCTACTTTTTCTATTAATAATGTACTGTATTTTATAAATTCCTCTCTTTTCTTTCTATTTCCTACGATTTCCTTATAATTCTCTTCTTTTATTTCTGTGTCTATTTTAATGCTAATTTCATTTCTTAGCGCACCAAAACGGGGGCAGTGTGATATGATGTGTTGTATAGTTTGTGGAGTGTCACTGTCACAGGGACACGACGGGTCGTCTCTGAGATGGAATCGATGCAGATAAGCAGCGAACCCGCCATGCCCTGTGAACAGTTGTGCAGTGTAGCTGTTTTTTGCGATTTTGCCGACAGTTCTGTACGCTTCGGCTGCGCTTGGGAAGAATAATTTTGTAACGGAAGCAGTCTCGCTACACTGGTACCTATTGTCCCATTCCCCAATCGTCCGATCCCGGATCAGACGCTTGGCGAATGAGACCGGGCACCAGTCGTAGTCCGACCTCCTCTTCAACTTTAGGGCTGCATCCTTGGCCAGCTGGTCGGCCCTCTCGTTACCCTCCCACCCCGCGTGTGCCTTGATCCAAAATATGTTTATTATTTTGCCGCTTTCCATAGATGTTGTGTATTTTTTCCTAAATTCTACCGCTAGGGGGTGGGTGGTTGACGGGTTTATCACCGTTTGTATTGCAGCCCTGGAGTCGCTGAGGATGCCGAACGTGGTTGCAGGATGTTCCGAGATTAGCCCCATGGCTCGGCTCAGAGCCAGGAGCTCCGCCTGGTATACTGTGCAGTGTGCCGAGAGAGCAAGTTTGAGGGCCTTGGTTTCGGCCGCTCTGTTCCACACTGACAAAGCTGCACCGACCCGGCCCTCAATCTTGCTCCCATCGGTGAAGACTCTAATTTCATGATGTTCTTTGACTTCTTTGTATTTCGCGTCGTCTACCAGGTCTTGGAACTCCAGTCTCCTTTGCCTTGCCGGATGGGGTTTTTCAACTGCAGGCGTCATCCGCTCGACCTCTCTGTCCCCCGCCAGGTCGCCGGACTCGCCCCTCTTCGCCTCGTACAGCGAGGCGACTTCGCGTATGCGAAGGTCGAGAGGGAGGAGTCCGGATAGGACCAAGGCGGAGTCCAGAGAGACCGTGCGGTACGCCCTGCAAATTTTTTGGGCGAAGCCCCTCTGCACCACGCTCAGCTGCTTCCGAAATTCCAGCTTGGAGACCGAGGAGGCCCAAGCGCTTGCCGCATACAGAATTATCGGCTCCACCGCTGCCGTGTAGATGGTCCTTGTCACTTCTGGGTGCAGACCCCAGCTGACCTTTGCCGCCCTAGCCAACTGTTTGTAAATGGCTATGGCCCTTTTACAAACATCCGCCATATGGGCGTTGAAGGTCAGCCGATGGTCAATGGTGAGCCCCAGAAGTTTGACCCTGTCCGTCATGCCAATGTCTACCCCTCCCATGCTCAGGCGTGGTGTGTCATATTTCAACTTTCTTGTAATTAATATCGCGCTGGTTTTATGCGGTGCGAATCTTAGTTTACTTCTGACACCCCACGCCCGAACATGTTCGAGGGCGGCATTTGCACGACGCTCAATGTCTAGGGCCGTCCACCCATCGAATACGAGCGCGACATCGTCCGCGAACGCCTGGCAGTAGATGCCCTGCTGTTCGAGCTCTCTCAATAGGGGGTCCAGTAGTACATTCCACAGAAGTGGTCCCCCTATTGAGCCCTGCACACATCCCAGCCCCGCCTGCCGGATTGCCCGCGCCCCAGCATACCTCACCTCAACCGTCCTGTCACTCAGGTAGCTGTCGATCGCCCGTCTCAGGTTCACCGGGCACTTTTCCTCAGCCAGTCGGACCCTTATCATCGGCCACCACGCACTGTCGAAGGCGCCCTCTATGTCTAGCGAGATTAACACCGTGATCTTTTTCTCTTCTATTTTTGATCTTATATGTTTCATTAACTTATAGAGGGCGTCTTCGGCACTGCGCTGTGGCATGAATCCGAACTGACGAGTACTAAACCTCGGCAGTAGGTGATAC